GAAGCAGATGATGAAAATGTCAGTAACAGTGACAATGATGAGTGTAGAATAACTCATGATCACAAAAATACATACAAAGAAAAGAAACCAAAAATAGGTAAACCAATTCATGATGAGTGTGCTCACATCTTACACAGGAAGTTAGGACATGCAAGCTTTCCTGTAGTACAAAAAATGACTGAACACGCAGAAGGTGTCAAAATAAAAAATTGTGAAAATTATTTGGAATGCTCAGTATGTAAGTCCACCAAACTAAAAACCAGTCCCAGACCAAAAAAATCTAACAGATCAACTAACAGTATTTTTGATTTGGTACACATGGACTTAGTTGGTCCATTAAGTCCCTCAATTACCTATAGAAAACGTTACTTCCTAACAATAGTGGATGACTACAGCCGATATGGTTTTGTTTACACATTAAAGCACAAGGATGAAACATTTCAGAAATTTAAGGAATTCTACAAACGTATAGAAACACAACATAATATCAGAATAAAGCAAATTATGACAGATAGGGGATGTGAGTTCATGTCTAAAGAATTCTCCCAATGGTTAAAGGATAGAGGAATGTTACATTTCACGTCCAATCCTTTTTCTGCATTTCAAAATGGAGTTGCAGAGAGGAAAAATTCCACACTACAAACCATGATTAGGTGCACATTAGAGGATGCTGGTTTAGGCAAACAATTTTGGTCAGAGGCATTACATTATTCGAATTACACTCAAAATAGAACCTGGTCCAGTATTGTGAATAAGACACCATATGAGGTGATGTACAATAGAAAACCCAAATTATCACACATGCACATATTTGGAGTCACTGCAGACGTACACATACCTAAACAATTGAGGAGAAAGGGAGAAAACGTATCCAGGAGATTAAGATTCATGGGATACGAAACTGGAACCAAAGGGTACAGATTTATTGATAGTAATAACAAATTTATAGTATCCAGAACAGCTGTGTTCCATGAACAGGCCAATTGGTCAAAATTGCACCTTAATGAAATATTTCCTAATAAATGTAAAGATACGATATCTTGCGAGGAAGGAACAACAGAAAATCAAAATATTAACAAAAGTAAGAACAAAACCAAAACTTGGACTAATAGTCAGCATAAAATAAAGACAGACACATTAACAAAAAAGGAAGCTAGATATTTGCATGATAACCATAGCAAGCCTGAAAGAACTATTAGAAACAATAGAAACCAAATACCAAATAAATACAAAGATTACATAATGCATATGAATGGAGAACAAATAACACCTAATACATATGAAGAAGTATTGAAACTTCCACATGAAGAAAGAGAAAAATGGGAACTAGCTATGGAAAAAGAGATGGAAAGTTTACAAGGATTAAATGTATTCACACCTGCGATCGCACCTAAGGATAAAACAATTATAGGTACCAGGTGGATTTATAAAATTAAGAACTTAGAAGGAGGCAATACCTTACACAAGGCTAGACTAGTTGCACAAGGCTATGCACAAAAATATCCAGAAGACTATACTGATACATATTCACCCACAGTGAGAACAGAGAGTGTCAAAACAGCCCTTGTAGTAGCATCTGCACTCAATCTGGACGTATTCCAATATGACATACAGACCGCATACTTACATGCAAAATTAGATAAGGAAATATATGTAAGAGCACCACACAGTCAATACACTAATAAGAACGAAATTTGGTTATTAAATAAGAGTCTGTACGGATTAAAGCAATCCGGCAAAAGATGGTACGATTGCTTGGTAAAAGTACTTAAGACCATGGATTTCAACGCCACCACTGCTGATAACTGTTTCTTTGTAAAAAAGAGTAATGATCATATTGAATTTGTATTAATTTACGTGGACGATATTTTATACATTGGAAAGCATAAAGAGAGCAGGGAAATCTTTGTAAATAAGTTAAATGAACACTTCTCACTGAAATCTCTGGGTAAAGTGAATAAATACCTTGGTGTGCAAATTAACAAAACTAAAAGGGGATTCAAACTTACACAGAAAGATAAAATCATCGAACTCCTAAACAAATGTAACTTAAATAATGCTAAAACCTGTGACACCCCTATGCAAACTGATTTCCTTAGAAACACTGATGAATCTTCCCCTGAGTTTAAAGACAACACATTTTACAGATCAGTTATAGGTTCACTCCTTTATATATCTAATTGGACTAGGCCGGATATTGCATTACCTCTCAATCTATTGTCAAGATATGTTAGTAAACCAACCTTGTATCATTGGGAAGCTGTCAAAAGAATTCTAAGATATCTGAAGGGTACATTAGATTTTTGTTTAATGTTGGAACCCAATAATGACAGAGAACCAAAAATTACTTGTTATGCTGATGCAGATTGGGCTGGTGATACATCATGCAGAAAGAGTACTTCTGGTTATGTTTTTCTATTGAATGATTGTCCAGTTTACTGGTATACTGGTAAACAAGAACTAGTAGCCACTTCTACTACAGAAGCGGAATATGTTTGTTTGTCCAAGGCTGCAAATAACCTTGTATGGTTCAATGATCTGATCACTGATGTTTGGAAGAAACCCACCTTACCATTTATTATGCATGAAGACAATAAAGCGGCCATTGAAATATCCAGATCCGATGCAATTGGACAAAGGTCCAGGCATATTGATATAAAGTTTAAGCATGTGAGACAACTGTCTCAAGACGGATTCATTAAAGCAATACATTGCGATACTTCTGAACAATTAGCTGACATATTAACAAAACCCTTACCTTCTAAACAACACAAATATTTAACTTCTAAATTATATGTATTATATTGTCCTGAATCAGAATGTAATTGGTGTTGTGTAACGAACCGGCATTTAGAGGGGGATTTGTCAGATGTAAATGCCTTATTCTCCAATGTGTAAATAATGTATATATGGAACATCAGAGGTTAACTTATTCTTTGGACTTTAATGTATTCATAACTTACCACTCCCATTCCTAGCTCCACCCCTTGTATATATAAGGAGCCACCCTCACCATTCTCGTGGCTTCTACCTTGAATATTCAGTGAATATAGAATGCCTATCATAATTAAAAAGAAATATATTTAAAGCTTTAACTTCTATTATCTTTATTGAGTCTGATCCTGAAAATATTGCAACAATACCAATAGTGAAGCTGAGCTTTCTTGTCGGGTTTTGCAAGCAAAAGAATGTGAAAGAGTCAGGATGAGCTTCTTCAGTTCAGGAAGAAGAAAAGCATTCTCCACTCATTACTCTTTAACCCTTCCCCCACCGCCTGAGAGTACAACAATGCCCCATCTGTGTTGAGGGTAGAAAGAACCAAACGCATTAACCAAACGACTCATCTGCCTGTGTCTCAAAAACTGTATTGTGAATATCACACTGTCCTGTTTGGTCGGCGGCCCTCTTGAAAGGCAGATTTAAGGCCTAATGAGGTAAAAATAATTTTCAAACAAATAAATCAAGAATAACTCGATAAGTGTAACGATTAGTTTACCATAAAGCTTAGATATTGGCCAAGAAACAATCTGAGCTAAGCTCTTAAGTGGGATCTATGCTTTATGAACATGTCATGTCACATTTCCTTGCTGTATGCAGGAGACAACAATTAAACAATTAGGAATGATCAAGCACATAGAGACATTATTCTTCTGAAATATGAGGCAAATCATGTCATATTATAAATATCATCAGCAACCTGCTGGAAACACAACAAGTAGACCAAAAACAGGTCCTTAAAAATTTGATTATTATTAGAAAGAAATAATCATATATAATTTGACATGACTAAAAAGAATGTCTCACATTTTTCTCCTGAATTTACCATTGTATGCTAATTGCCCTTATAAATAGTATTTAATTTATGCTAATAGATGGGGAATGTCTGGTGACTCAAAATGTCATGTTTCTAACATTGGGGAAGAGACCATTCTAACCTTATGTCCCACCCAAAACTGTTGTATACTGGATTGATCTGGTTTCTTCCTGTTACATATTCTACTGTATATCTCACGTCACAGACATTTTCTTAATGCACAGGAGAATAGATATCAATAACTCTATCATGTCTTTTGGGTATTAGCTCTAGAACTTCTCTGTGGAGAAACAGTTACAAAAAGATAATTGGTTATTTTGATGTCAGACCTAATTCTTGCTCTAATACAAGCACCGACCACATTGTTCTTCAGAAACAAAATCAAAAGTTCAGATTCTTGCAGCCCCAAAGGCTCAATCCTCTAAATTTATTGACCTTAGGGAACTGACCTTCTAGTAAATGTACTTAAGTGTGGTTTTAACATTCAAGCGACCTAACACTTTCATTTCTTTTCTTTGGAACATTATGCGGGATACTTGAAAAAGGGACAATGATGATTTTGGCAGATATGTACTTTATTCACAATAAAATTTGAGAAAGCAACGGACATAATCCCATCAGATATCATAAATGTGGAATCCTGCTGATTGCAGACCTTGTACAGGTGGCTCAGGAAACTTTAATGCTCTGTATATATATGTGTGTGTGTGTGCGCACGCATGTGCACACACATACACTCACACCTGTATTTTGCAACTGGATTATATCTTGTTGAATTCTTTTCTTCATTCATAATATGGGTTACAAAGACACTCCATATTGCACGTTGAATGAACATAAGTCACAAGTCATAACAAGAGACAGTTCTCCTACTTTTTCTCTTCCTTTCTGCACAGCTGAAGTGATTGTGTGTGCTCTCTGCCTTTTTTGTGTGTTTCTATGAAACATACGACCCAGGCAGAGAATTTGCTCAACTATTTTGCATCTTGCTGAAAGCACTTAAACATCCATGGCTGGGGAGAAGAGAAAGGTGGCTAGGCTCCAAGTTAACTTTCCCCTCCTCAGTTCGGTTGACTGTCATTTTCTAACCAACTTTCTGCAGAAATACTTTTCAAGAAGATGTAAAGCTATAATGTAAGGAGAAATTAAAAAAAAATCAGTAAAGATACTGATTGAAGACACTTACCTGATCTTCCCAAAATAATCTGTAGTTTTGGAATGTCTGATCTCATCGTTTAGAAGTCTCTCTCAACATCTCTCTTTTTTATGTCCTAAGAAAACACATTTACCTACTTGGATATTGTAAATGATTGTAATGTATTATAAAGTGAGCATAGATGATATTACCTAGTTTGGGTAATGGAACATCTGCAAGAAAACAACTAAGTTCAGAGAGCCTCAAGGACCCCCTCATTTCAACTCTCAGCTACAAATATTCTCCTTTATTGAAACGTACTTCTATAATTACCAAAGTAAGGCGTAAATTCCATTGATGGTTTCACGTAAGTCTGGAAGAGATCAATATTATTATGGATTACATTAACGAATCACAGATTGAAAAGAAAATTGTAGCATAAATACCAGATCAATAAAATATCACTTAAAGAGAAAGATCTGTTATTTTGATGTTTTGTCCCGTGTTTAGTATAGAACACACCACACAATTTCCTTGGATATCATATCAAGAGGGCACAAGTTGGAGAAAGCAGTCTTAGTGAATTGCCCCCATGGACCAGATCCATCAGTTTTCCATTATGACATCCTTCATTATCCAAAATCAGTCCTTTTCAGTAGCTCTTTCACCCTATCCTAACAACCTGGATGAGGGACATGATTGCCCTTTTAGGGACAGTATATCTGAATGATATTCAACATACAGAACACTAGCAGAGGTACAAAGGTCTATTTATGTGTGTGCATTTATTCATATTTATGTAGCCATTTCTATCTGCCTTTCTTTCAAGAACTTAAGGCAGGTTACTTTCATTTTATTCTCATAATTAATAACCCTGTGAGGTAAACTGGACTCAGACAGACTGGTCTAAACTTGCCTAATATCTTAGCATGACTTGAATCTGAATTTCTCCAGTCCCTTTTCAATGCTTCAACCACTAGACTATACTGGTTCCCAAGATCATGTTTTCACAAAATACATACACACATATACACACATACATTCAGGCAATGTATATAGCTGTGATGGCGAATCTATGGCACGCAGCACCCTCTCTGATGGCACCTGAGCTGTCGCCCCAGTTCAGATCTGCTGCGCATGTGTGTTAGCTTCCTGCCGGCCAGCTGATCTTTGGGTCTCTGCCGTGCATATGCAGGAGGCAGGACGCATGTGCGAGGGCCACACACATATTGCATTTTTAGGGTTCAGGCACACATATGCACGCTTTGGGCACTCGGTCCAGAAAAGGTTAGCCATTATTGGTATATAGTATATAGTTTATATATGGTTGACAGGAGACATATATCGCTAGTAAGAAGGAAAAGATCATTCTAAGCTCAGAATATTCTAACCTCTAAGAGTTCAATGAGACTACTGGTTAAATAGGTTCAGACGGGGCTGTATTTCTTCACAGTATTGTCGCTGGAATCTGCTGTATATTATTTGACTGCCATTCTTAAGTTGTGCTTTACAGCTACCCAAAGCATCACAATGAATTAATTGTGCTGAATTCAGTGGGACTTCTTTACTAATTGTGATGTTAGGATTTCTGTGGGTTCTTCCCATGTTACTGATGAATAACTGAGGCTGAAATACAGGTAGTCCTTGACTTATAACAGTTGGTTTAGTGACTGTTCAAAGTTACAACGGTGCTGAAAAATGTGACCACTTTGTGACCACTTATGACCACTTTTCACAGTTATGACCTTTGCTGCATCCTCATGATTGTGTGATCAAAATGTAGATACTTGGCAACTGGTTCATACTTATGACTGTTGCAGTATCCTAAGGTCATGTGATCATCTTTTGCAACCTTCTGACAAGAGAAGTCAATGGGGAAGGCAGATTCACTTAGCAACTGGGTTACTAACTTATCAACTGCAGTGATGCACTTAACAACTGTGGCAAGAAAGGTCATAAAATGGGGCAAAACTCACTTAACAAAAGCTTCACTTAGCAACAGAAATTTGGGCTCAGTTATGGTCATAAATCGAGGACTACCTGTATTAGATCCTATCTGCCAACTGTCTAAGCATATTTTCATTATTTTCCTGGACCGTCTAGTATCAGGAAAACATTTATGGGTATACAACCATGCCCGTACACATGTTCACCCAACTTTCTGAAGCATCTGCAGCTAAGGGCAGTTTTAAGCTTTCTGTGTACTTCATTCCTAAAAAATGAAAGACAGTGTCACATCTCCCTGTCCCCCTGATCTGACGTCTGACATGTTCCTACAGTCACTTCAGCAAAAGGAGGGCATGCTGAAAAACATTTTCTTTTAGGATTCGGTCACAGGTACAACCTGAAGCCCCAGCAAGGAGTTTCCAGCTGGGCTTCAAGGGATTTTGTCATAAGCCTCTTTGATGGTTTGCCAAAAGTCAAAAGCATCTCCTGGGTTCTATGTATCCCACAACCGGCTTTTTCCTTGACCACGGCGGCCAATACTGAATAAAAGGTAGACAGGGGCAGTTGTGGGGACGAAGCCCAAGAGAGGTGGAGCTCTTGCCTCATAATCAGGAGGTTGTGAGTTCGATCCTAGGTAGAGGCAGATGTAGGGTCTCCTCCTTGGGCAAGGGGTTGGACTACATGACCTGCAAAGTCCCTTCCAACTCTATTAATCTGTTAGCTCGACTCTGCTTCGCTTCACGTTGATTTAAGGTCTTCATCCTGGGAAGAGCGCTTGGGGGATGGGGGAGTCCCCTTAACCCCCCCCCCAATTCTCCTCAGCCTAGTCGTTTCCCGTTCCTTGGGGGGATGGGGTGTGCCGTGACACAATCGCCGCTGTGCCGTGACACAATCCTTATATCCCGGCTTACCTGACTGGACTTCTTTGGGAACGCGGGGTCGAGAGTTCGTGGGTGAAGGGGAGGGGCGGGCGACAGGCGTGGCTTTCGAGTTGGAAGGAAACTTCCCATTGGTTTGTGCCCGGCATCCTCCCTGTCAATTTTAGACTCCCCTAGAGGGTGAGAGGAGGAGGAGGAGGAGGAGGAGGTGGGGGGGGGAATAGAATGGGAGGGCGGGGGAGGAGGAGGAGGGGGCCGCCCGTCCTCCCGCCCGCCTTTCTCGTTCGCTCTTCGCTACCGCGGCCGCTTTCCCGGTGCGCCTCTTGGCCAGCCCCCTTCGTGGGATGCAGCCTTTAGTGGAGATGCTGCGCTCCTCGGGTACGGATTGAAGCCCCTCTCCTCCTTTCGGGCTGGAGAGGCGAATCGGAAAGGCCGGATCCGGGCGCTGTTTAGACCCCCACGAAGCGGCAGCGCCGATCCGAAGTCGCCCCTCCACCCACTCAGCCCACCTCCTCAGCCGGCACTTTTCCCGGGAGCGGATCTTTCCTTGTGTTTTTTTTTAACCTAGTTGCCCTTGAGTTCTCGATGGGTCCCTAAGGGAGTCGAGGCCGAGCGTCTCTTGGAATACAAGCGGGACAGAAGCGGCCGCGTCGGGCGAGCCGGGAGGAGAGAGAAGCGGTGCGGGCGAAGTGGGGCCCCCGGCGAGGGTGGGTGGGTCGCCGTTGGCGCGCCCGGTGTTTGGGCGAACCATGGAGAGGAGTCGGCAGTGGTCCACCAGGTGGAAAACGAAACGGCGGTTCTGGGACTCGGCTTTCCCCGCTCTTCTCGTCTCGGCGGCGCTTCTGCTCCAAGCTGCGGAAGTCCGAGGAGGTAAGAGAGCCAAGAGGACACCCCCCCCCCATATACACACACCCTTAATCCCCGGCTAGAAGAGATGGGACTGGGGGGTGAGGCGACATCAGGGCAGGTCACACAGCCCCTGATTTCTAAGGTGACCCTAGCAAGTGAGACGGGGATCGAACTTGCCTCTCTCCCTGATCAAACTCCCTGAAATGAATTGTGTGTGTGTGTGTTGACTCTGGGATCTGCTCGCTGATTGGGTTGGGGAGCACTCTGTGTATGCTCCAAGGAATTTTTTTTTTTTCTCCCTTGTTGATTGAGCCGTCACTGGAGCCCCCGGCTGATCCTTAAATTCGAATTAGGAGCTCCTTGACTTCAGCGTATTGGAAGGATGCTAGGAAGAGAACCGAAGGAGATCCGGATTCTCCCCAGTTCTGCTCGTCCAACTAAATTCAGTCAAGTTTTATTTCTCGACAGAAATCCATAGATAGGATCGGTCCGGGAGTCTCAAATACCGTCTCCGCCCAGTTTTAAAAGCGCTGTTGGGGCAAAGCGAGAATGGGAAAGGAGGTGGGTTGCTGAATGCAGTAATGGAAAGATCTGAAACTCGAGAAGACGGCAAGGAACCTTTTGAGCAACCCCCCCTCCTACTTTTTGGGGTGGTCGGCCACTTTTGAAACCGGTAAAGAGATGGCTTGTGCAAATTCCCTCCCATCACTCCCTTGCTTGAACTTGTTGAGATGATTAAACTGAGTGAATTCACATACACGTTTGGCCAAAGTGAAGAAAAGAAGGGAGGGGCGGAGGGAAAGGCTTGCTTGACTTACACAGATGGACCACAGTATGACTACAAAATCCACAGGCTTTTTTTTTTTTTTTTTTTAAAAAGGGAATTATTTCAAATTGACCCAGAGCTCTTTCTAGCTTGGATTCTGAAATGTCTGGATAATCCTTTGCTTGATCTGTCTTTGACTTGCTTGAGAACTTTTGAGTGATGCAGGGATGCTCATCAGGTGTGTAGTGGGTAGCTGACAAGAAGACTTCAGAAGAAACTAAGATATTCACATTCAGAGAGCCCGAGGGTTTAACCCATCTCAAATATTACCTTACCTGCCCCCACTCTCTGGTTGCTTGTCCCAAAGTCCCCATTGACTCTAGCCAGCTTACGTGGCAAAGCTGAAACAGGAGGGCAATGCACAGAGGAGCAGGAAACTCCTCCCTTCCCCCTCCCCTTAGGTGCATCTTTGGCAGAAGGAGCAGAATGGAATGAATGGTCCCATAGGTGGGCATGTGTTAATCTGCAGTTTCTGGAGCTGCAGATGTTGAATCTTACTAAGAAGACCATTGAAAGGAGAGAGAGAGAGAGAGAGAGAGAGAGAGAGAGAGAGAGAGAGAGAGGGAGAGAGAGAGAGACAGACAGACAGACACACACACACACACACACACACACAGAGAGAGAGAGAGAAGGACTCAAGGGGAGGGTGACATAATGAGACTATTTTTCCTTATTGGAAGGGGCATATTGGGAGAATATACTGACACAGTCCCATTTATAATAAGCTGAATGAGTTCTAAACCCGATACCTGGAATCCATGATGGGGAGGTTTCCTGGGAAATTAGAGGGGCTTTCCCCAAGTCTGGTATTATAGCAATTTGCTTATATCCCTTCCTTCTATTCTCCACAGATTTGCCTTATGGCTACATTCTTTG